GCCAGGATGGTCTCGATCTCCTAACCTCGTGATCCGCCCGCCTCGGCCTCCCAAAGTGCTGGGATTACAGGCGTGAGCCACAGCGCCTGGCTTTTACTGTTGTTTTAAATAGAGATAGGGTCTTTCTCTGTCACCCAGCCTGGAGTGCAGTGGTGTAATGTGAGCTCACTGTAGCCTCAAACTCCTGGGCTCAAGTGATCCTCCTACCTCATCCTTTCAAGTGGCTGGGACCACAGGTGCATGCCCCCATTCCCAGGCTAATGTTTAAATATTTTTGTGTAGAGATAGGGTCTCACTATGTTGCCCAGGCTGTTGTTGAACTCCTAGTCTCTGGTGATCCTACTGCCTTGACCTTATTTTTAATTTTTTGAGGAACTTCCATACTGTTCTCCATAATGGTTGTACTGATTGATATTGTCACCAACAGTGTACAGGGGTTCCCTTTTCCTCTTCTCCACATCCTCACCAATACTTGTTGTCTTTTGTCTTTTTTTTTTTTTTTTTTTTTGAGACAGAGCCTTGCTCTGTTGCCTAGGCTGGAGTGCAGTGGCGTGATCTTGGCTCACTGCAACCACCGCCTCCTGGCTTTAAGTGATTCTTCTGCCTCAGCTTCCTGAGTGGCTGGGACTACAGGTGCACGCCACCACTACCTGGCTAAGTTTTGCATTTTCAGTAGAGACGGGCTTTCACCACGTTGGCCAGGATGGTCTTGATCTCCTGACCTCGTGATCCACCTGCCTTGGCCTCCCAAATATAGTACCCATTCTAACAGGTGTGAAGTGATATCTCCTTGTGTTTTTAATTTGCATTTCCCTGATGATTAGTGCATTTTTTTCGTATACAGTTTGGCTAACTCCTGTTTTCTAATTTATTGCACAAATCATAAAAGAGAAACAGGAACATTACTCACAGACCAACCAGCTTAATACTCAACTGTTCTCAATATTATGTGTTCCATTATAGTTTGTGAATGCTTAGTTTGATGTACTTGTGATTGACCGCCGTATAATTTTTCATTGGCATTTAGAAAATGTCACACTTCAAACATGTTTCTTCTTTACGAGATGGAGCTTGCTTTTATGCTAACTTCTTGGAGTCAGCCAGCCTCCCGGGGATGTTTCACGTAAGTGATGGTGGGGTGGGAGGAACACAAAAGATCCAGTGGTGCTGGCTGAGCCAATCCCTGTTCCACTGGCCCTTCTCTCCACTGCCCCTGATGTGGTGCTGTGTAAGGAAGCATGGCCAGCCTCAGGGCTTCAGAGTGCTTTGGTTAACAGTGAGGTCTGACTCCCACTGCTAGAAGGAGGTGTCGTAAGCTGTAGGGCTGTTGCTCTTTACTCTTCTCTGTCATTACCCACGAGGAGGTGTGTTTGGGCTGGAGGCCTGGGCTCACGTGGAGGGTGTGCAGCCAAGACCATCATCATTGGTCTGATGGTGAATTTTAAGCAACTCTGAACCTAACCTGTGCTCCGTAACAGTTTCTGAAATGAGGTATACAGAGATGGGAAGAATCTTTTGGAAAACAGAGACAGACATAGTAAAAAAAAAAAAAAAAAAAAAGAAGAAAAGAGAAAGGGAAAAGAATAGATGTAACAAAAATACAGCTGGATTGTACATTTCATAATACACATCCATTCATAAATATACTTTAGTTTCATGGTTTTTAAAAATTCCTAGTAGTATAGATAAGGCAGAAGTAACACTTATGGGGAGAACAGACTACAATTTGGCAGCAAAAGGAAGGCGTTAAACTGTAGCTGGAAATAACAACAGAGTTGATCTGTTCTATATTAGTTCTTCCGTCTTCAAAACCAACAAATGATTGCAGGTTTAAAAAAAAGAAAGTGGCTGGACATGGTGGCTCACACCTGTCATCCTAGCACTTGGGAGGCCAAGGCGGGCAGATCACCTGAGGTCAGGAGTTCGGGACCAGCCTGGCCAACATGGTGAAACCCCATCTCTACTAAAAACAAAACAAAACAAAACAAAACAAAACAAAACCAGTAAATTAACCGGGCATGGTGGCTTATGCCTGTAGTTCCAGCTATTCAGGAGGCTGAGGCAGGAGAATCACTTAAACCTGGGAGGCAGAGGTTGCAGTGAGCTGAGATCGCACCATTGCATTCCAGCCTGGGCAACAAGAGCAAAACTGTGTCTCAAACATATAAAATAAGAGTAAAAGAAAGAAAGAAAAAGGTAGCCTTAATTTAGTGATGCTATTAAGAATAACAAATGCCTGTTTGATGATCAGTCCTGGACTCTCAAGTTTGCCTGTTCTGACTCAAGTTATGGTGAAACTGTAGTTATCTTCCAGTTTTTAATACGGTCCTTGCTGCAGTGACTTCATTCTAGAGAACTGGCATTACAAAAACATTGTAGTGCTTAGTGGTTTTAATACTCATTTCACAAGAATAATGAAATAAATCTTTTCCTCACTGAGTGTGTAGTATGATGCAGGTGAGGTATCTGACACCTGAAAGTCAGGCTGACCCATGAACGACACTGGCTTGAATTGCGTGGGTCCATTTAGATGGAGACTTAAAAAAATCAATACATTGGAAAATTATTTGGAGAGTTGCAACAGTTTGAAAAAAACTCAGATAAACCGAGTAGTCTAGAAATACGGAAAAAATTGAGAAAAAGTTATATATGTCATGAATACATAAAATACATGTAGATACTGATCAGTTTTATCATTTACTACCATAAAATATACACAAATCTATTATAAAAAGTTAAACTTTTTCTAAACTTATGTACACGCAGACTATACATGGTGCTAGTCATAGCTGAGAGAAATGTAAACAAATGTAAAGATGCTGTATTATAACTGCATACAAGTAACTATAGTACATACAGTACTCCTGTAATAATTCTGTGGCCACTTCCTGATGTTGTTGCAGTGCGCTCAAGCATTGCGGGTAGCCGCTTGGAAGGCACTGTGATGCTAGTCATCTCTGTGGGAGCAGTTCCTCTCTCCAGTACACTTCAGATCACGGTGAAAAGTGACCTCTTAAGGTTCTTGAGTATGTTTTTTTGTGTGTAGTGCAGTACCACAAACTTTGAATAACACTATGGGACCCATATGAAGTGCCACTAGTGATACTGGCAGTGCTCCCTAGAAGCCAATAAAAGCCCTGACAGAATTGAATTGCTTGAGGAATGGTTGCCTGCCGCTTCAGACAGATGATTCGTTTTGCAAACAGATGATGTAAACTTATGGTATTGATAAATACAGTATGGTACTGCAAATGTATTTTCTCTTCCTTACGGTTTTCTGAATAACATTTTATTTTTTTTCTATCTCACTTTATCTTAAGAATACAGTATGTAATACATATAACATACAAAATACGTGTTAACTGTTTATGTTATCAGTCAGGCTTCCGGTCAGCAATAGGCTATTAGTAGTTAAGTTTCTGGGGAGCCAAAAGTTATACACAGAGGTTTGACTGCATGAGAGGTTGGTACCCCTAACCTCCAAGTTGTTCAGGGGTCAACTGTAGTCTGTGATATACTCTTGGCTTTCCAGAAACTTAATTTGAAGAAGTTAATTTAAAAACTGTAGTTTTCTGTGTATTAATTTGACAGTTCAGCCTTTATTAGATCAAAGTTTCAAACGAGCTCAGTTGTTAGATGTTTTGTAATGAATGCCATCAGCCTTTATGTTGTCAGGATCCAGGATGTTTAGATGTGTGTTTGCGCAGGGCTCAGAAACAGTCTTGGTGGTAGGTTTACAGCTGCCCATCTTCTTAGGTGCAGAACCTGTTCTGGGGCTGCTGCCAGTCTATGGGAACATTCCCTCCTATGCCCTTCCTACGCTGCAGAGGCCTACAGGTTGATGACCACTTCTGGGACCCTTTGTTAGACCTCTCACTCAAAGCATGTAGAGTTGTGTAAGTGACAGCAGCCAGCCTTGACTCATCAGATAGTCTTTGAGTTTGTAAAAGAAAAAAAAAATGTCCAGGATTTTAATTTACACTGTAACATCTGAGGTGGATTTCAATTCTAGAGCACGATAGAGACTGATGTCTGGGTTTCACCCCTAGGATTGTTTTTACATTGTCCATGCTATAGTACAGATGAAAATGAAAGATAATTATTTACATCTTACATTTCCTGTTACAAGTATTCTGTGTTATGTCTGTATAATGTCAAGTACTGTAGGTATGTTCTTATTTCATTTATTCTTGTTTCTTCATGTACACAAATGAGTGCATCATTTCCAGTTATGTCAAAAGTGATATGTCATTGTATCAGATCCATCTCTCAGTATTATCTGTATCTTCTGATGTCTTAATCAAATTTATGCTGTCAAAATATGTTAATGATGTTTTTTAAAGTGTTTATTGAGAAATTCACAAAGAACTTGTATTTTGTCAAAAGGCCATTGTTTAGTTGCCAGCATTATCAGTGCAGATGTACTAAATTGCAAGTTACAGAAAACCCGACTCAAGGTGACTTATAGGAAGGGTATTTACTGGCTTGCCTATCTGCAAGGCCAGCTATAGGCCAAACTTCAGGGTTGATTTGATTTAGCAACTCAACAATGCTATTGAGAATGTAGTTTCCTTCTTTCTTTTCTGCCATCTGCATTCCCACCTTCCTCTTGAGAGGGCAGGGTGGTTAGCAGCCATTCCCGCACCTACACATTTTCTCACTCTTGTCCCATGGTGTTTAATAGCTTGCCCAGAAAAACTTCCCTTTGTCGCATTGATCTTAAAATTGAGCTGTGTGCCCATTCGTGAACCAGCAACTGGCTGGGGATGGGGTCATCCTAAGTAGCTCAGGCTTGGAGTCAGCCTCACCCAAAGTATAGTGCTGTGAGGAAGAAGCACTGAAACCCCAGTCAGAACTGGGTGATTAGCTAGAGGAGGAGGAAATGGATGAAGAGTGACAGCCACAGTCCACTGTGCCATGTGATTTACAGTCATTTGGGTTTTGTTTATAAGAGTACTTGCTTTATTTTTTCATTTTTTTTTTCTTCTTCTGTCTTTAAGGGGCCTTTACAACAACCAAACGGACAGGCATTCCAGCGCCACGGGAATTTTCGGTAACTGTCTCAAGAGAGAGGTCTGTGCCACGTGGTCCCTCGAACCCCAGGAAATCAGTGTCCAGTCCAACTTCTTCCAACACTCCCACTCCTACCAAACACCTGAGGACCCCTTCCACCAAGCCCAAGCAAGAGAATGAAGGTGGAGAAAAGGCTGCGCTTGAGTCCCAAGTTCGGGAACTTTTGGCAGAAGCCAAAGCAAAAGATAGTGAAATTAACAGGCTTCGAAGTGAACTAAAGAAATGCAAAGAGAAAAGGACTCTGAGCGCTGAGGGGCCTGATGCTTTGGGCCCAAATGTTGATGGAACATCAGTCTCCCCAGGTGACACAGAACCTGTGATAAGAGCACTTGAGGAGAAGAACAAGAACTTTCAGAAAGAGCTTTCCAATCTAGAGGAAGAAAACCGGGCCCTGAAGGAGAAACTGATCTATCTTGAGCACTCCCCAAATTCAGAAGGGGCAGCAAGTCACACTGGTGACAGCAGCTGCCCGACATCCATAACTCAAGAGTCAAGCTTCGGAAGCCCAGCTGGAAATCAGTTGTCCAGTGACATTGATGAGTATAAAAAAAACATACATGGAAATGCATTACGGACATCAGGCTCCTCAAGTAGCGATGTTACCAAAGCTTCTTTGTCGCCAGATGCTTCCGACTTTGAGCACATTACAGCAGAGACACCCTCAAGGCCCCTGTCCTCCACCAGTAACCCCTTTAAGAGTTCAAAGTGTTCTCCCACTGGGAGTTCCCCAAACAACGTAAGTGAATTGTCCCTGGCTTCCCTCACAGAGAAGATACAAAAGATGGAAGAAAACCACCATAGCACTGCAGAAGAACTACAGGCCACTCTACAGGAACTATCAGACCAGCAACAAATGGTGCAGGAATTGACAGCTGAAAATGAGAAGCTGGTGGATGAAAAGACGATTTTAGAGACATCCTTTCATCAGCATCGAGAGAGGGCAGAGCAGCTAAGTCAAGAAAATGAGAAGCTGATGAATCTTTTACAAGAGCGAGTAAAGAATGAAGAGCCCACCACTCAGGAAGGAAAAATCCTTGAACTGGAGCAGAAGTGCACAGGTATTCTTGAACAGGGCCGCTTTGAAAGAGAGAAGCTGCTCAACATTCAGCAGCAGTTGACCTGTAGCTTGCGGAAGGTTGAGGAAGAAAACCAAGGAGCTTTAGAAATGATTAAACGTCTGAAGGAAGAAAATGAAAAACTGAATGAGTTTCTAGAACTGGAACGGCATAATAATAACATGATGGCCAAAACTTTGGAAGAGTGTAGAGTTACCTTGGAAGGGCTAAAAACTGAGAATGGATCTTTGAAGTCTCATTTGCAGGGTGAGAAGCAGAAAGCCATAGAGGCCAGTGCCATGGAGCAGACGGCAGAGAGCTGCGAAGTTCAAGAAATGTTGAAAGTAGCCCGAGCGGAGAAAGATCTACTGGAACTGTCTTGCAATGAGCTCAGACAAGAATTACTAAAGGCAAACGGTGAAATTAAACATGTTTCCAGTCTGCTGGCAAAGGTGAGAAGAGACAGCTCTTTACTGGTATTTGCTCATCCTTGTTCACATTTCTGCCCTTAACCTCTAAATTCACAGAGCACAGAGAAGCATTTTCTTAGTCTGTTTCATTCACGAAGCCAGCATTCCGGCTTGAAGGCCTGTTAGATCGACGACAGGTTGGGATTGGGGATACAAAAGGAAACACCCAAATTTCTGATTATGGGTGGTTCAAAGTGTACTGGGGATGTAAAATCAAATCAGAGTATGATGCAGTGATAAAGAATATCATAGAGCCTATGCCCAGGCTCTAGTCTAGTGCCAAGATGAGGGGGGGCCCTGGTATAACATGGGGGTCGAGGGTAGCACAGAAGGACTTCCTGGAAGAAATAGCAACTGAGCTGAGTTCTGAAGATTGAGTGGGAGTTTGCCAGGTCTGTCAGCCTGCTTTTAACTGCCAGTAACAGACAATGAAATCACTCCCAATTTTCCACCATAATATTACCACTATTTTGGTGTTTTCTTCCAGATATATGTGTATGTATGTGTATCATACAAGTTAAACAAATTTATAATCATCTTGTACATGTTATTAACTTTCTTTTTGCATTTAGCATTTTAGAAATATTAAAATTTTTCTCAGTATATTCCTATCATTAAATATTCATTTAAACATTCTTTTAAAGGCCAGGTACTATTTTAATATAAATATTTCATATTTATTAGGTCCCTGTTGTTGAAGATATATGTATTGTCAAATATTTGTGGTCTTTCCAGTCTTTCAATATTATAAATACTTTTTTTTTTTAAATCTATCTTACTGTTTATTTAGGACAAATTCCTAGACGATGACTTACCGAGTCAAAGAGTATAAACATTTTAAAGACTTTCAACACAGTCAGCCAGATTGCCCTTCGGAAATATTATGCCAGTTTATTCATCCTAGTGGTCATGAGATCATGTGCTTCCCTGAGCCTTTGCCAACACTTGGTATTACATTGTTATATCATTTAAATATGTTAATCATTTCATTTTTTTAACCTTTTTTGCTTGGGAAGATCTTCCATAGCCCAAGAGCAAATAAATAATAACTTTTCTTGTTTTTAAAAAAATAATACTTTAATCAGCCTGTAATTTTGTTTTTTGATGCAAGAATTGTGGTGATTATATGATATTCTGCCCGGAGCAGTGCTGGAGAGGTGCAGAGAGATGGCCTCCTATTTCTTGTTTCCTCCAAGTTCTGGGTCTGATTTAGGGATCTGCTGGCAAGAGGGATTCAAAACATCTTCCTACCTTAGGTCAGGGGTTGGCATTGTTTCAAGGAGCAAATTATGCCATGAGCTCTCATTTTCCTCCACTGCTTCATCTGTCTTAAGATGAGTCCGTTGCAACCTGATTCTGCGTTTGGCCATCTGATGGGCTTACTGGTGGGCCGTGTTAAGGAGTTTCTCTCTTTGTCTGTATTCTAAATTTGTAGGTATTTTATTGAAAGTATGGAAGTAATTCCATTAGAGGTTACTAGACAGGCTTTGCATTAGGTTTTAATGTCTTGTGGAATAAGACTATTCTTTTTTTACTTTAAGATACTCAGTACTCTCTGGCAAAATGTTTCATCTCCCATGTGCACCTTCTTGATGTTCTTTCTCAGTCCCTCTGTAGTTTTGGTAGTTTGGCATTACATGAAGCGTATGTGTCAATGAGAAATAATCTGACATCTTAAAAATAGCTTATTTTTTTCTCATCATAAAATATTTTCATTACAGAGGATTTAAAAAGTACAGAAAAGTATAAAAAAGAAAAATATTACCTTTAATCTCACCACTTGGAGAAAAACTGCTAACATTTTGCTATATGTCCTTTCAGGCCTTTTCTCAGTTTATACATGTTTGAGCTTGCATAAAAACTTGCATTGATATGATTATGATATTTTGTCTTCCTATCCAGAAGAGTATGTCTGTCCACATTCCATTACAAAGAACCAGTTGGATTAGTTTATCTATTCCACTGTTAATCTGTTTCTGATTAACTTGTTTCTACTTTTATCTTTATTAATTTTTTTGTCCTATTTTTTGTACATTTTGGTTTCTTACTAGTTTCTTCAGTAAAATTCTTTGTTCATTTAACTTTTTTTATCCTTGGTTGTTAATGAAAGCATTTGAAGTTATTATAGCTTAGGTAAATAGAGGCAATAAAATCTAGAATCTTCTGGAATAAACTAAATCTAATTTAAAGGAAAGTGCATTTTCGGTAGAGTGCAAGGCACAACATATATATTTAAAATCAAACTGTTGTTATTCATATATCCTACATCTTATTGCGTGCTAACTAGAATTATCAAATACTGCTAGTAAGAGGGGAAAGGTCCTAGCTAGTATTTTTGGGTGAGAGTGAGGTAAAGATGGAGGCATGCTATTATATAGGGTTTCTTGTATATCTATCAAAACCCTAGGTCTGTGATTTTGTGCTGTCTTATGTGCACAGAGACTGATTTGTAATTGCAGTGGACTTGTAACATACTAATCTTCCTACCCTTTTACATTACTGTAGAAAAAGCAAAACACAGACCTGCTAAATGGACTAATACTTACTGTATCTCTACCACAGACTATCAACTAATCCGCCAACAACCATGAATTTAAATGATAATACTTAAGAGACTCATGTCCAAAGGATAATAGGAGAAGTTTTAGCACAAAACTGTGATGAAGGATCTAACATGCTGGACTGGGTCGTCTTGACTTACCCAGTGAGCAATGATATGACTTCGGGCAGGCCCCTTTACCTTATGCGGTGTGGAATATAAGCGTGACGGTGGATGGATCCTGGTCTCGTATCTAATTCCAAGGGAAGCATTTAACATTTCATCATGATGTATGTTTTTTGTAGGCATTTGGTACATACCTTTTATTATGTTACGCAAATATTTTGCTAAGAGGTGTTTTGTTTGGTGGTTTATTTTTATTTTTATTTTTATTTTTTATTTATTTTTTATTTTTTTGAGACGGAGTCTCGCTCTGTTGCCCAGGCTGGAGTGCAGTGGCGCGATCTCGGCTCACTGCAAGCTCCGCCTCCCGGGTTCCCGCCATTCTCCTGCCTCAGCCTCCCGAGTAGCTGGGACTACAGGCGCCCGCCACCTCGCCCGTCTAGTTTTTTTCTATTTTTTAATAGAGACGGGGTTTCACCGTGTTAGCCGGGATGGTCTCGATCTCCTGACCTCGTGATCCGCCCACCTCGGCCTCCCAAAGTGCTGGGATTACAGGCTTGAGCCACCGCGCCCGGCCCTGGTGGTTTATTTTTAGAGACAGGACCTCGTTTTGTCACTTAGGCTGGAGTGTGGTGGCGATTATAGCTCACTGCAGCCTTGAACTCCCGGGCTCAAGGGATCCTCCCACCTCAGCCTTCTTGGTAGCTGGGACTACAGCCAGGCACGGCCATGCCTGACTACTTGGCTTGTTTTTAAAGGATGAGGACTGAATTTTTCTACAGCTAATGATGTGATCTGATAGTTTTTATGTAATCAAGTTTTTTTCTCCTTTAACTTGTTAATGAGGCAAGTTATAACAGCAGATTTTCTAAGGTGCTCTAGTGTGAAATCATGCTTGCCTTCCTGGGGTAAATCCTAATTCTTCAGTTTTCAGTGGTTTTACTTGACTTTTTGCCGAGAACTTTCAAATATAGCTGCCTTCAGCAGGTATCGGAGTAACTGTCCTGTTAATCACCAAGCAACTGCGTGTATCCCATGAACAGTGCATTCATCCACTCTGATGCTTGGCAGAAGGTGAATATTGTGAAAAAGGATACAATAAGCTATTTACAAAGGGGGAAAGCAGTGCCAAACCATCCTATGATCTAATAGATTCCGTAAATCTATGTAAGTTTCCAGTTAAGATTACTCAAGTGACCCAGATACTGTCAAAAGAACCTATAAAAAGCCTTGAAAAGTGCTTTTTTAAAAATAGGAGGTAGGTTTCTTCCTCATTCAATACATGGAAAATTGGTAGGATTTCTACAGTATTTTGTAGGCTTTTTTTCTCCCCATTTCTTTTTCTTCGTTGGTTTGCTGATCTCTTTATTTTTTTTCAACTTCTCTGATATACCCCATATGCATTTTGATGGCCGCTTAATCTGTAGTCACATGACATACTTCTGTAAAACTTTGAGGATGGGTCTGATTTCCACAGAACCCAAAGCCACCACTCCTGGGAGCCACACCTGTCCCTGCCCTAGCTAGCAAGCGGCATAGAGTTGTATAGGATTGTTGTTTTTCCAGACAATAACACGGCCCAGCTTTAATTTTCTTTTTTACCTTTTCAGTTGTTTGGGATCTTGATTTCAAGTTAGAGTATCTTTTCTAGGCTTGAAACCTAGAAGTTTTAAAAGCAAAACATCTATTTATTCCCCTGAGGTTGAAGCTTGTAGGTGGTATTCTTAGAATCTTAGTTCTTTCTGCAGAAACTTGGGGTCCACTTCCAGAAGAGTAAGGAGATTATAAATAACCACTTGGCATGAGTGGTCTGGGGGAGGCAGCAGAGGTGAAATGACTAGTGTGCTGCCTGAGTGGGTCCTGGAGCCAAATGATTTAGAGTGGCCACTGGTCAGAGATTGCAGAACCAGAATTTGAGGGAAATATGTGGCAAATAGATGATCCTGTAGCTGTGACATTGGAATAGGACACCTTAAAGGACTTAAGAGATCTGGAAACCTGGTTTAAACAGTCAGGTGGGCCAGAAGTCTATCCAGGTGATGTATTGGTATATGAGAAACTGCCCTCCTGTCAGCGGCATGAGCCAGGGGACACTCCCTCCACCCCGGTCCCTAAGGGTGGGAGATGGGCTGTGGCTGCCCATGGTGCAGGCCCAGGCTGTGGCTGGCAGTGCTGTGGTTCTGGGCCTCCTGCCAGGGATGCAGGACAGCTCAGCATTGCCAAGCATCTTGGTCCACCTGTTGGTGACTCGGGGCAGGCATGTCTCCTGGACACCTGGGTCTTATGGGGAGAGGGTTTCCCAGAGCCTCCCAGAGCTTTC